CCTCCCCGCCCCCACAGACCACCCGGAGACCCCAGCGCAGAATCGTCTCCGGATTCCCAGCAGTCGCCTGGAGTGTTGGAGATTGGCTCTTGCCCCCGCCCTCCGCACACCCTAGGGAAAGGAAGCACCCCCCGGTATTAAAAAGAGCTGAGCGGAAAGAAGCTCTCTCAGTCGCTGGCGGGCAGGCGAGCTGATGCGGAGCTGCACCGCGTCCACCATGCCGAGGATGATTTGCAGGAACGCAGATCTCGAGTTTGACTGGCTGCAGCCCTGCTTCTACCCTGACGAAGATGACTTCTACTTCAGCGGCCCCAACTCGACCCCTCCTGGGGAGGACATCTGGAAGAAGTTTGAACTGCTGCCTACGCCCCCGCTGTCGCCCAGCTGTGCGTTCCTGGAGCTCAGTACGGAGCCCTCTGACTGGGCCAGCGAAATGATGCTGACCGAGGCCGACCTGTGGGGCAACCCCGACGAGGAGGACGTGTTCGGCCCGGGGGGACTGGGCAGCCTCACCCCCAACCCAGTCATCCTCCGGGACTGCATGTGGAGCGGCTTCTCCGCTCGCGAGAAGCTGGAGCGTGCGATGAGTGAGAAGATGCAGCATGGCCACGAGCCCGCGGCCACGGGTCCGGCCACTCAGGTCCCGGGAGCGGGAGCTGCCAGCCCTGCGGGCCGCGGGCACAGCGGGACGGCCGGAGCCGCCTTACCGGCGGAGCTCGCCCACCCGGCCGCCGAGTGCGTAGATCCCGCGGTAGTCTTTCTCTTGCCGGTGAGCAAGCGGAATCCGGTGCCTGTGCGGGTCGCCCCGGCTCGTGCCCCTGCCCGTGCCTCTGCCGTGGCCGCTGCGGTTGCTAGAGCAGCCGCCCCCGCTAGTGCCGCGGTGGCCGCCCCTCCGGGTTTAAGCAGCCGCCCTCCCAACGGCGGTGACCACAAGGTCCGCAGCACCTCGGGAGAAGACGCCCTGAGCGACGAGGTTGACGAGGAGGAAGATGAAGAAGAGGAGATCGATGTGGTCACCGTGGAGAAAAGCTGTAAGACAGGCGGCACCACGTTCACCCTCACGGTGAGTCCCAAGAACACAGCCCTGGGCCTGGGGAGAGAGCAGTCCCGTGAGCTGATCCTCCAACGCAGTGTCCCCATCTACCAGCAGCACAACTATGCTGCGCCCTCGCCCTATGTGGAGAGCGAGGATGCTCCACCCCAGAAGAAGATCAAGAGGGAGGTGTCCCCACATCCCTTCAAGAGCGTCATCCACCCAAAGGGTAAGAGCTTCAGCCCTCGGAAATCCGACTCCGAGGACAGCGTGCGTCGCCGCAATCACAACATCCTGGAGCGCCAGCGCCGCAATGACCTGCGGTCCAGCTTCACCACGCTCCGGGACCACGTGCCAGAGCTGGTGAAGAATGAGAAGGCTGCCAAGGTGGTCATTTTGAAAAAAGCCTGTGAGTATGTCCACTACCTCCAGGCCAAGGAGCACCAGCTTCTGATGGAAAAGGAGAAATTGCAGGCAAGACAGCAGCAGTTGCTAAAGATAATTGAACTTGCTTGGACTTTCTAAACCTTTCTTAAATGAACAGTCACTGCCACTTTTGCACAGTTTAATTTTTTTTTAAACATTGTGTTAATGAATATTGATTTACTCTCAAATCAGTCCCCTGACGTTTGGGTCTGGGTGGGGGGGCAGGACGTGTGGGGTTCTACCAGGACCTTGTAGAGCCCATGTGATGGGGTTCTGGGTAGCTTTGCTGTGACAGTGACAGCAGTAGAAGTTCGTGACAGTTGGGAGCCTCTGGGGCTCCTTGTTCGTTCCAAGTTTTCAAACAACAGAGTCATTCCTACTTTTTACAATTGTGCTTAGGTTCCAGCAGATGTCAGGTAAGAGGGTTGCCATTTGATGCCGACGGGGAACATTTCTGTAAATACCTTTGCACACCTGCCTTTTGTATATGTTCTGGGTAATGAGAGGTGGCTTTTGCAGCCAGTATTAGACTGGAAGTTCACACCTAAGTACCATAATAATACCTCAATGTTTGAGGAGCATGTTTTGCATACAAATATATCGTTAATCTGTTATGTACTGTACTAATTACACTGTATACTTTAGTATGATGCTGATACATAACTAAATTTGATACTTATATTTTCATATGGAAACGAGTTATGAAAGTTTTGAGTAGATATTACTTTATCACTTTTGAACTAAGAAATTTTATAAAATTTGCTATATATATGCCTTTTCTTAGTCTGTTTCTTCATTTGTTCATGTTTGGTGCATAGAACTGGGTAAATGCAAAGTTCTGTGTTTATTTTCTTCAAAAACACAGTATATTTAGAACTTTGAAATACCTCATGTTTATGAAAATAAATAGCAGTTAAGTGATTTAAAATTTTCTTTAAAAAGTATAAAGAAAGAAAAATATAAATTGTAGGAAATTTAATCTAAATTAAGATGTCTTAAAAATATAAACATGCACTAGAGTGATATCACAGCAAATGATGGTGGAAGAAGCTTGAATAAAATCACTTCCTACGTTGAAACAGTCATAAACTGTTGAAGACAGAATCAATAGTTTTTGGAACCCTTAAGAAGAAAGGGTCAGTTGAATTTCAGTAACAGAACATTGTGAAAAATTTTCCCACCAGGGCTGGGGTTGTAGCTCAGTGGTAGAGGGCTGACTTAGCACCTGCAAGGCCCTGGGTTCAATCCTCAGCACCACATAAAAATAAATAAATGAAATAAAGGTATTGTGTACAACTAAAAAATAAATATTAAAAACAATTTTTCCCCATTAACTTAACATTCTCTGTTTCCAACCTTGGAAGTGCCACTTGAGTTCTTTTTATGGCTTTCTGGTGCTGAGAGATTAATACAATCCTTATTTTTAAATGCTATTGCTATGTATTTTCACCTATCTGGTGATTTACTGGGAGCACAGCTCAAAGGTTGACTTATTCCCTTCCCTCCAGGCTGTTGTTACTTTCCAGGTTGGAGGGTATGCACTGAGAGGTTTTACTGATACACAATGCCTTTGTACACTTGCAGCAGGAGAGGGACAATAGATGAGACAAACAGGAGATGGACCCAAAATCCTAAGGAGATTTTCTCCTAGAAAGCTCAGGAGAAAGTGCTAAGGAGAACGTTTCTTGGGTATATAAGGGATTGAAAGGGCCACCAAGTCCACTGAGGAAAATGGAATGCAATGTGCATACTACAACCAAGACAAATGCTCAGAAAACACCTTAGAGTACCCTAGGATTCCACCAGGGCTAAATCTGGGGATTCTGTGCAAGTATGTAATGAATACCAAGGTAATCAAAAGACAGATATTGGGACAATAGATTTTCTGAAAAAGTCACAAGCGACAAAGGATATTATACATTGGTTGTTATGGAGGTGTCCCCCAAAATCTCAAATATGAGACAATGCAAAAAAAGTTTAGAGATGAAATGATGATTGGTTATGAGATCCTTAACCTAATCAGTGCATTATTCCACTGATAGGGATTAACTGCATGGTAACTATAGGAAGGTATAGAGTGTGGTTGGAGTAGGTAGGTCCCTGGGGGTGTGCCACTAAGGTTGTAGATTTTGTCCCTGGCAAGTGGAGGCTGAGGCAGGAGAATCAAAGTCCTCAGCAAAAGCAAGTCGCTAAGCAACTCAGTGAGACCCTGTCTCTAAGTAAAATAGAAAATAGGGCTGGGGATGTGGCTTAGTTTTCCTGAGTTCAATCCCAGGTACCCCCCACAAAAAAAATTGAGGAAGACCAGTTGAATAGAGGAATAGTATCAGGGGAGGGAGGAGAGGAGGGAAGGGGTAGCGGAGATTGAAATAGAGAAAACCATCTGATATGCATTTATGAATAAATAAAAATTATTAACCCCACTATTATGTAGAACTATAATTCACTAAAAAAGTTATATAGAAAGGAATATAGATATAAATACACACATATATAGCAAACAACACAGTAAAAAATCACAAGTAATGCTTATTGACATGATTGAAGGGAAAATAGTTTTATAATAATAGTTGGAGGCTTCAAATTCCCACATCAATAACAGAGCATCTATATGGAAGATCAGTAAGGAAGAAAGTAAGTTGAATATTGTAAACCAACTAGGCCTAATGGATAGGCATATCTAGAGCCCCACTCAACTCCTGTGAGTTTGGAATATTTTCCAGTATAGACATATGTTAAGTGACAAAACAAGTTTTAATAAATCTAAAATGATTGCAACCATATAAAGTACCTTCTGCAACCACAATGGAATAAAACTAGAAATCAATAACATAAAGAAAGAAAACTAGAAAATTCTCAGAAGGGTGGAAATTATCCACACATTATTAAACAACCAATGAGTAAAAGGAGAAATTAGAGAACATTTATAGACAAATAATATGGAAAATATGACATACAAAAATGAACGGGAGGGCTGGGGTTGTAGTTCAGTAGTCGAGCACTTACCTAGCACGCATGAGGCACTGGGTTTGATTCTCAGCACTGCATATAAATAAAAAGATTAATTGATTAATTAAAAGGTCCATCAACAACTAAAAAAACTAAAAAAAAGAAGTAACAAAAGCAGTGCTCAAACGTACATTTATAGGCGTAGACACCTATATAAAACAGAAGAAAACCTCAAATCAATAACCTAATGGCATGCTCCACATAACTAGAAAAAAGCAAACAACCCAAAGCCAGCAGAAAGAAGAAAATCATAAAGACTGAAATAGATCAAAAGTGTAGAAGAAAACAGAAAAACAATATAAGTAATCAGGGAAAGCAAAAGTTGTTTTTTTTAAATAGCAAAACTGACAACTCTTTAGGTAAACTGACAAAGAAAACAAAGAAACAACTAAAACAAAAAGATGAAAGTGGGTACATTATTAACAACCTTAGAGAAATAAAAATAATTATAAGAGAATACAGTGAATAATTGAATGCCAATAAATTTTAAAACCTAGATAAAATGTACATATTTTATAGAAACACAAATTGCACCCTCTGGTTCCCTTTCCTATCAGATCTTGGTGGTTGTAAAAGGAGGAAAAGTAATACTGAAGCTGGCCATATGGTGTTCTAGTCTGTTATCTAACACACCAGCTTGTTTCAAACAGAGGTAAAGAAGAAGAAAAAAAAGAAACACAAATTGCCCACATTGATACAGAAAGAAAATCTCCAGATACCTGTAACAAGTAATAAGATTGAATCAGTAATAAAAAATCCTGCCAACAAGGAAAAGCCAAAGGGCAGATGGTTCCACTAGTGAATTATATGAAACATTTAAAAACTAATTATCATTATTTATTCTCAAACTCTTTCAAAAAGTATTAGAGAAATGAATATTTCCTAAATCATTCTATGAGGCTAGTATTTCAATGACACAAAAGTCAAAGAGACACCACAAGAAAAATTATTCACCAATATTCCTTATAAAACAAAATATGAGCAAACCAAATCCAACACAATATTGAAAGTATTGTACACCATGACTAATTAGGATTTATGCCAGAAATGTAAGGGTGATTCAATATAAGAGATTGAATCAATGCAACACAGTACATTAAAAGAATAAAGATGGCTGGGATTGCAGCTCAGTGGCAGAGTGCTTGCCTAGCACGTGTGAAGCACTGAGTTCGATCCTTAATACCACATATAAATAAATAAAATAAAGGTTTTGTGTCCATCTATAACTAAAAACTATTTTTAAAAAACAAAAGAGTTTGAGGGGCTGGGATTGTGGCTCAGAGGAAGAGTGTCGCCTAGAATGCATGAGGCACTGAGTTCGATCCTCAGCCCCACATAAAAATAAAATAAAGATATTGTGTCCACCTATAACTAAAAAAATAAATAAACACTTTAAAAGAAAGAGTTTGATGGGCTGGGGATGTGGCTCAAGTGGTAGTGCGCTTGCCTAGCGTGAGTGAGGCACTGGGTTCAATTCTCAGCACCACATAAATGTGAAATAAAGATACTGTATCCACCTAAAAATTAAAGAAATAAATATTTTTTAAAAAGAGTTTGAAAAAAGCATGTGATCACTTCATTATATGCAGAAAAATCATTTTACATAATTCAACACCCTTTCATGCTAACACACTTAGAAAAGTAAGGGTTGGGGTTTTAGCTCAGTGGCAGAACGCTTGCCTAGCAAGTGTGAGGCACTGGATTTGATTCTCAGCACCGTATCAAATAAATAAATAAATAAACAAACAAACAAATAAATAAATAAATGTATTGTGTCCATCGACAACTAAAAATATATAAAAAGTAGAAATGGAAGGGAACATTTTCTACATGATAAAGGACATGTATTAAAAATCCACATTTAGGGGCTGGGGTTGTGGCTCAGTGATAGAGTGCTTGCCTAGTACATGTGAACACTGGGTCTTATCCTCAGCTTCACATAAAAATAACTAAATTAATTAAATAAAGGTACAGTGTGCACCTACAACTAAATTTTTTTAAAAAAAATTCATATTTAATACAAACGGAATGGTGAAAGGACAGCTTTCCCACTAAGCTGTGGAATACAAAAAGGATTTCACACTGCTGTTCAATATCATGCTGGAGGGTCTAGCCCAAACAATTAGTCAACAAAAATAAATAAAACTCAGCAATATTAGAAAGAAAGAGATCAAACTAACTGGATTCACAGATGACATGTTATGGAAAATTCCAACTTAGAGAGAAGAAAACTCCATAATTTAGTAGAGCTAAAAAACCCATTCAGCAAAATTGCAGAGTACACGAGCAATATAAAAAAATCAGTTTTACTTCTAAATACCAACAATAAACAATGAGAAAATTAAATTAATATAATTTTATTTATAATAGCATCCAAAAGAATAAACTATCTGAATAAATTTAAACAGGTGAAAGTTTGTACACAGAAAACTATAAAACTAAGGAAAGTAAAAGAGGCTGAAAAAAAAGGAAAGACAACTTGTGTCACTTGTAACATTGGAGTACTTCTTGTTAAGATGGAGAAACTATCCAACACAATTTAGTTTAAATGCAATCAGTATCAAAATTTCAAAGGCATTTTTTTTTTCCACAAATGAAAGAGCTGATCCTCAAATTCACATGCAATTGTAAAGGACCCCAAATAGCTAAAGCAATACTGAAAAGAACTTACACTTTCCGTGGACTGTGGTGGCACATGCCTGTAATCCCAGTAACTGGGGAGGCTGAGGCAGGAGGTTTGAAAGTTCAAAGCTAGCCTCAGCAATTTAGCAAGGCCCTAAGCAACTTAGCGAGACCCTGACTCAAAAGTTAAAAAATAAAAAAAAACCCGGGGATGTGGCTCAGTGGTTAACAGTCCCTGGATTCAATGCCTCGTACCAAAAAATAAAAATTTAAAAACCCAACAACAACACCAAACTTCACAATTTCAAAACTCACTATATATGTCTACAGTATTAACAAAGTGTGGCATTGGCATATGAAAACAAATAGAAATATGGGATATAATTGAGAGTCCGGAAATAAACCATATATATCTATGGCCCATTGATTTTGTACAAGGATGCCAAAAATTTGATGAGGAAAGAGTAATCCTCTTAACACATTGTGCTCAGACAACTGTATATGCACATGTAAAAGAATTCAAAATAGATCTATGATCTAAAAATAGCTAAGCTAAAACCATGATTATTTAGAATAAAACAGAAATTTTCATGAGCTTGAGTTTGGTGATGTATTCTTAGAAATGATACCAAAACATGAAAAAAAAAAGCAGATAAATTTGACTTGCTCCGAATTTAAACTTTTTATATCAAAGGATATCATGAAGAAAGTAAAAAGAGTATCCCAGAATAGAAGAAATTATCCTTAACTCATATCTCTGTTAACGTTCTAACATCCAGTATATGTAATAACTTTTACAACTCAAAAAAGAAAAAGAAAATACCTGCTCCCTCCTCCCGCTCCTGCTTTTCAGTACAAGGGATTGAACCCAGAAGCACTTTGCCACTGAGCCATATCCCCAACCGTTTATTTATTTATTTTATTTTGAAAAAGGATCTTGCTAAGTTGCTTAGGGCCTAAGTTGCTGGGGCTGACAGTGAACTTGGAGTCCTCCTGCCTCAGATTCCTGAGTTGGTGGGATTTCAGGCATCCACTGTGACCAGCCAAACAACCCAGTTTTTCAATGGGCAAATTTCTTGAATGGTCATTTTTCCAAAAATGTAAACAAATGGCCAAAAAACATATGAAAAAATATTCAACATCATTAGGCATTAGGGAAATGCAAGTCAAAACCATGATGGCACCACTGCACAAACACTAAGATGATTAAGATTAAAATAAGGAAATTTAGCGTTGGCAAGACTGTGGAAAAATTTAAATCCTCCACATTGCTAGTATGATATAAAATAGTGTCTGTTAATGTAAATGCTGTTCTTTGTTAAATACCAAATTCCCATTGTTTCTTTCTTCATTTCTAAATATTTTTAGTTGTAGATGGACACAATACCTTTATTTTATTAATATTTTTAAGTGCTGAGGATGGAATCCAGTGTCTCACACCTGCAAGGTGAGCACTCTACCACTGAGCCACAAGCCCTGCCCTTCAATTGTTTCTTGATAGTATATAGAGAAGCAATTGACTTTTTAAAAAATATATTTATTTTTTAGTTGTAGTTTGACACAATACCTTTATTTCACTTATTTATTTTTATGTGGTGCTGAGGATCGAACCCAGGGTCCCATACATGTGAAATGAGCGCTCTACCACTGAACCACAACCCCAGCCCCGGCAAATGACTTTTGTATATTCACCCTCTATACCAGCAAATTTGCTCTACTATACTTCTTAATTTGATTCTTTGGAATTTTCTATATGGATAATCATATAATCTGCAAATAAACAGTATCATAATACTGTACAGTATAAATTTCCCACTAACCACTGCTTCTGATAACATAACACAAATAAGTTGCATTTCCATGTGGTTGAAAATATTCAATTCCTCCAAAGTACATGTATGAAGACTCGAATTGGGTGTTAACATACTTTATATACAAACAGAGATAAGAAAAATTGTGGTATATACATGTAATAAGAATTGTAATGCAAAAAAAGTACACGTATAAAGACATGAATTGGCGTGAACATACTTTATATACAAAGATATGAAAAATTGTGCTCTATATGTGTAATAAGAATTGTAATGCATTCTGCTGTCGTGTATTTAAAAAAATAAAATCAATTAAAAAAAAGAAAATATTCAATTCCCCTTAGACTTCGCTGACCTATTCAGAAGTGTACTATTTCATTCTAGATATTTGGGAATTTTCAAACTGTTTCTGTTATTGATTTCCAGGTTCCATTGTAGAAAATACATAGCCCAGAAAGTATCACTGAGACTCAAAGAATGTCAATAAAAACTTCCCAAACTAAACAACAACAACAAAATCCTGGGTCCTGTTGTCAAGGGCTGTGATAAAGAGAAAAAATGTCCTGGGTGCTGTGGTCAAGGGCTATGATCCACAAGGATCCTCAGCAAAGACAGGAGATATACTCAGCAGCTGGATCTGGTGCCTGTTAACCTGGGACAATACTCCTGCCTCAATTTCAAAGACAAGATACTATCTTTTTAATGTTTTTAGTTGGGCTGGGGCTATAGCTCAGTGGCAGAGCACTTGCCTAGCATGCGTGAAGCAATGGGTTTGATCCTCAACACTACATAAAAATTAACAAATAAAATAAAGGCAGTCTGCCCATCCACAACTACAAAAATTTTTTTTAAATGTTTTTTTTAGTTATAGATGGACACAATACCTTTATTTTATTTATTTAGCTGAGGATTGAACCCGGTGCCTCACCTGTGCTAGGCAAGTGCTTTGCCACTGACTTATAACCACAGCCGAAGGTACTAATTCTTTTTTTGGGATGAAACTCAGGGGAATTCCACCACTGAGCCACATCCCCAGCCCAATTTTGTATTTTATTAGAGACAGGGTATCACTGAGTTGCTTAGCACCTGGCCATTGCTGAAGCTGTCTCTGATCCTCCTCTCTCAGTCTCAGGAACTGCTTGGATTACAGGTGTGTGCCACCACACTAGGCTCCAAGGTACTATTTTTTGGGGGGGCTGGCACTGGGGATTGAACCCCG